ATGGTTGTCCTTGTGGCTTTCGTGCTGCTGCGCTCGAAGAGCAGTCGGGGAGCTGGGCCGCGGTGTCGGTTGGTTCTCTGTGCCCAAGCTCGTGTTTAAATCCTGGTGAGAGCTGACACGTCATTCCCCTTCACTACACACCAGCTCTTCCAACGCCTGGGTTTGGTGTGCGGGGGCGGCTGCCGAGGGCTCGGAGCCGGGTGGGACCCGAGGGTGGGGGCCGCACAGCCAGCGCTCAGCACAGCACGGAAACCTCCGTTCTCCTTTGTAGTTTCCGTTAGAAGATCTGAATTCAGACACGCAGAAAAGCCCCGACAGCGACTTCGACAGTGGCCAGGGCAGCTGCGAAACGGCGTCCCCGGGGGACCCCGGCAAGGGGATGGCGGCGCCCGACGACAGAGGTCTGTGCAGCTGCCGGGATGGTGCCCGGTGGTTGTCGGCACCTTCAACGGTGCTTTTTTGGTTTTATAAATACGGTTTTAGGTAATTGTCATTGCTTGACTTGAAGGAATCCTTTCTTTGTGGCTCAGAATGTGGGCAGACACCTGTAAATTTCTGAAAAGCTTTTTTTGAGGTGCAGAAAGGGAAATAGTAAATCAGATGAGTCTTAATTGCTTACTTCCTTTCTTATCATTTGCTGCACTTACTTTGTTACCCACTTACTTTGTCAGTTACTCACTAATCTGTCACTGAAGAATTTTCAGCTTTGCCTTTTTTTTCCAAGGTTAAAAACCAATAACACCATTTTGGGTCAATTATGCTACGCTACATGTAAAAGTGGATTTTGAAAACTTGAGTTGGAGCTGTTTTCCTATAGATGTTGAGATCTGTGAAATTTAACAGTATGACTTTGTGTTTAATTGATTGTCAAACGTGTGCATCACTTCTTTTTTTATATATTTTGTCAGATTCAGAGGAAGATATTTTTGTATGTAAAAAAGCAAAAAGCAGGAAGGTGCTTCAGGACAGTGAGAGTGAAGATGGAGAGGATGGGGGCTCTTTTGTGGAGAACGATACTCCAGGTGGGGACAAGGAAAGTGGAGATGAGAAAGAGAGTGTAACTGCCCAGAGGAACAAGAAATCTCATCGGGTTTGCCAGAGCCTGCTAGATAGTGATGACAGTGACATTGGTGACCGACCTCAGATTGAAAGCCTTGAAACAATCAGAAAATCTGACTTACCTGAGAAGGAGTTGGAAGAGAAGAGACCCCTAAAGTCTGGGAAAAAGTACAGAAAACATAAACAACATAAACGTGATTGTGAAGAAGAGGCAGCAAAAAAAGCTGTAGGAAAATCAAGAAGAAGAAATGAGAAGGAGGGAAAATTTGCGTCCATTAAACAGCTGACGAAAGAGAAGAAGCCCAGAGCAGAGGTACCTATTTTGGCAGAAATTCTCAGATGTTTTCTCGAGCGAGTTAAACTTTTTACTGCATTTGGTTGTTGTATTTAACACTTAAATGGCTGCTTGGGAGGTTGTATATTGTAGGTATTTATAAATAACACATATTTCAAGTGTTAATTTATTCTCTCTGAGCCATTTTGGTCTTCAGTAATTGCTGAAATTCCCTGCTTACCGTAGGCGCAGGGAGCGCTGCACCACGAGTTGCCTTCATCGGCTTTGCAGTGCTGTGAGGTGACTGTGAGTGGCTTGCAGGACACACAGGACACTAGACTAGAGATGGCACGTCCTTCTTCTGACTTCTGCCATCAAGACCTTTGACAGCGATCTTAAATGAATGTCAAATGACTCACGCAGCTCCTTTCTTCTTCTGGCCAGCAGGTCGATGGTGGGGAGTGGTGCCCTTTAAATGACAGTGGATGTCTTCTTGATGACAAAGAACTCTTTGACAATGGCTTAGAAGAGGAAGACGATTGCACCCCAGAGGATGAAGAGTCAATAGAATCGATACGAGCGGCAGTGAAAAACAAAGTTAAAAAATACAAGGTAACATCTTATACCTTAGACATTAGAGATCATCTAATCCAACCTCCTTGCCCATGTTCCTTCCAATCTAGGCCATTCTATGATTATTGCTTATTGATGAGAAATGTTGTACCTGAGCCTATATTAGACTTTTGTGGGTTTTTTGGACAAGGGTGGACTTCTGTTGCTATGAGAGAGGAGGGAATAGGACTCTGCTTTCTGTTTTTAAAGGCGGAGGGATGTTGTTGTGGAAAGTTATAAAGATAATGCTATAGTAGGAGCTTTGTGGAGCTCCTGCTCCTTTTGTGGAGTTCCTCCATTTTAATGCTTAGTCGGAGCTAAGGGTGGTTCGTGAGAGTACTTGCTGGGTTTGCTGACCGCTGATGATTCTCTACAATTATTTTTTTACTTTTGACTTGTTTGCCCTTGGTAGTGCCTGTGTATCTGGCCAAATAAGTGAATCTCTTCTTATGCACTGTAGAACAAAGAACAGTTTGCTGAAGATGAAGGCTACAAACATGTATTTGATGATGAGAATGAGGAGCCTGTATTAAAAGAACCAAAGAGGAAGGTGAAGTATTCTCTGTCAAGCTCTCCTTTGTTTGTTGTAGCAACTCAGAATATACACAGCGTCCAGTGTTTTTGCTGATGTGCTACCTTTCTGTTTGAAAGGGAAAAATAAGCTATTTAGAAAGTACAGCTAGAGTCCCATATTTTGGTTTCTGACTTCACAAGCCTTTCTTTCCTTTCCTTAAGGAGCGGAAAGCAGCAAGGTTAAGTAAAGAAGCCATTAAGCAACTACATAGTGAAAGCCAACGACTGATTAGAGGTAAAACTTAAATTCTTTGTATGTAGAGGGCTATAAACTATTTAGAAATTCAGGGGAGAAATGGAAATAATTTACCCAAAAGGTTAGAGGTCTTCAGGGCTGCTGCTGCTGGAACTCTTTACCAGCCAGCAGTGCTTGCTCTGTTCCGGTTTGAAGTGTGCTCCTTGTGCTTAGTGAGGTGGTTTTGCTGCAGAATACTTGTGTCAAGCTTCTTTGAATTTCAGAGATATCAGATAAATGCCTCAGATGATGTTTCAAATTTTCTTTCCTCTCCTTTCTCTGGTAGAAACGTCTGTGTCTCTCCCCTATCATGTGCCTGAGACCAAAAGTGTTCACGACTTCTACAAGTGCAGACCTCGACTGTTTTGTCAGGGAAATGCCATGGCCTTGCTGAAGTAAGGACTTAAACCTTCCTCTTATTTTTCATCAGTTTTGAGGATGTCCCAGCTTTGCTTTCGAGTACTTTCATATGGTTTAGATTGGACCGCTATATTTTACCTGGGCTGTTTCTTCTTTTGAGTAATGGACAATAAAATACTTAAGCTGCTATAGTCACAAAATCTCTCGGGAATTTTATCCTGGGATAATGTAACCAATACAAACTCGTCACACTGCTCTGCACTTCCTCGACTCTCAAAACCACGTTTTCCAGACTTCTGTCCTTTACCTCTTCCTAGGCATTAATGACAATAATTAGAAAATTATTTCTTTCCGTGCTTATTCTCAACCTCTTTTGCCCTTTTGCAGTCGCCATGAGTGATAGATTTCTTTCTGTTTTCTTCAGGTCCACTAAATACCAGCTAGCCTTAAGTGAAGGATCTGCAGACACTAAGAACTCGAGCTCGGATGGCAAAGACAGGCACGTAGAAGGTGATCAGTTGGCAGCTAATGACCCAGAAACGAGCTTTGGCGGAGATGTTGATGCTCCTGTGAACAAGCCTCTTGCTGACGTAGGGAAGGCCTCGACAGAAAACTGTGGTGAAGAGCCCCAGCAGGACAGTGATGATTTTCAAAAAGCGAGGAGTGGGACAGCTGATGGCGGTACGGAGGAACAGCAGCAGCACTCGGACCTCCTGAGCACTGGTTGTAGGGAACCGAAGGTGAACGAAATTCCTCCAGCAGTTGGAGGAGATACCGTTGAGCAAAGAGGCGAAACGACAGCAGCCTTGCCGTGTGGAAAAGGCACTCAGCAGGTGGGGCCGGGATTGGTGGCACCGCCTGAGAAAGCCAGGAAATCCAAGTTGGATAAACTTCGTGAGCTGGGAGTAGACCTGTCCATCAAGCCAAGAATCTGCTCTGACAACGAATCCTTCATAAACCTCGATGAATCTGATTCAAATAAAGGTATCGCTTTTCTTGTTGTAACCCTGTCCGGTCTGTCTGAGTACGCAGAGTTAATCTCACTTTGGGAAATATCTGAGAAATGTGTATTAGTCAAAGGGAACAGTTTTGCAAACACTTTAACCTTAAAGATTAGAGTTTTTAACTCCCTTTGGGAAAAAAATGGTTTTGCAAACGCTTTAACCTTAAAGATTTAGAGTTTTTAACTCCCTTTGGGAAAAAAATTCTCGAGTTACTCTTGATACAGTGTGAACACGCAAAACCTTCAAATGCTATCACATTACTGTAATTTACATTTTGAAATTTAATTGATATGTATTTAAAGAATTGGAAGCCTTGAAAGCACGCTTCTTGAAGCACACTCTTCGAACCTCCAAATCCAAAGTGGAGCGGACCGTAAACATGAACATTATTCGTAAGGAGACTACGTCTGAGGGAAAAGAGGAGCTGAAAGCAGACGTGGTGCCGGCAGTGTTGGCTGCAGAGAGCCCGGATGAATCACTCCACACGAAGCCAGGTTGGTTTGGGAGGCGATGCCTGGGTTGGAAAACACTTTGTCTTTTTTTTGTCTCTCGTTCCCACTTTCCTGATGCTGCCCTATGAAGTACAGATGAAGAGATCATGTGTGAAGTTAGCGTGTGTGTGTTACCTCTAATGGCAGCCCTTTTGTAAAAAAGAATCTTAATTGACTTCTTAGCACTGGCCAGTGTAGAACAGCGTCAGTCAGATCTTTTGAGACTGATTCTCTGGGTATTTTTTAATTCCCTTTTTATGTGTGTAGTTACTTTCGCTCGGAAGCGTGGAGGCAGCAAAGTGCAGGGTTCGCCGCGGTGCATCTCGTGTCTTCGTTGCCTCGTTTCAGGTGAAAAGCTGCAGGTGCTGAAGGCGAAACTGCAGGAGGCCATGAAGCTGCGCAGGACTGAGGAACGGCAGAAGCGGCAAGCGCTGTTTAAACTGGATAATGAGGATATGTTGGAGGAAGAGGAGGAGGAGGAGGAGGAAGAAGAGATGACAGATGAGTCTGAGGAAGAGGAAGAAGGCAGTCATGAGGTCTGTATGCAACTTTTCTGCATAACATAGGCAGCTTCTCAATTCTGCTGCCTCTCCTCAGTGAAATGGGACTTTTGAACCCAGCTAATATGAGGGAAAGTGCCAAGAGCTCTTCTGAGAAGCTAAAAAATTGCTACAGGTGGCATGGTCGGGGGTTGGGTTGTCTCAGCCAGGATTTATTAGTATTTTCTTTCATTTGTCTAAATAGTATTAAAAGAAGTGAAGGGGAAGAAAGGATCACCCTATCTCTGCTGTGTTTGGGAATATTTTATAGAACGAGGACTTTGTGCTTGGTGAAGCAGAGGAAGACAATGAAGATATAGAAGAGAAACACGTTGAAGAGGGTGATAAAGAAACGGACAAAGAATCAATCGATGGAGAGAAGCTGGAGAAATCCGTGCACAGCGATTCTGTTCCCAAACCACCTTCGACAGAGTCTACGTTGATGCTCTTTAAGGACAGCTCCTCAAAAATGGGGTAAATCAACCGAGCTTTAAAAATGGTGCCTGAGCAATTTTAAGTTTGATCAACACACGTAGATGTTTTGATTTAAAGTACTTCTTAGATGCATTTTTTCTGTCTTGTCTCAGTAGCTGTATGTACGTTCACAGTTATTTTCTTTAAAAAAGTTAGAGAACGTAATTGTTCAGTGGGGTAATCTGTTTCTTCATCGAAGTGTACGAGATGTATTTTTGGGTGTTACCTAATTTCTGACAGTTAGGAGTGACTGACAATAGTGATTCTTCTTGTACGTATCGGTGAACTCATTTTGTTTAATGAATTGCAGATACTCGCTTCCTGATGAGAAACTTGAAATGGACGAAGCTGCAGACAAAGGACCTACCAAGTTAGGTAAAGTGGGACGGGTGTCGTAGCTCACATTTTTTTTCACATAGCGCACGTGGAAGGCTCTATAATTACACTGTATGGTTAGAAAAGTTCAGACTGATGAAAAAATGGGAGAGCTTGAAAAAATAGGGGAAAATGAAGTTCAAAATGATGCTGGAAAAAATACAGAAGCAGTCAGAAATCAAGGTGAAACAGTAAAAGCGTTAACATACATCCTCTGTGAAGAAAGAAATCCACTGTGAGCACAAAATAATGAATTTTTAGCGAGATGTCAGTGTTGCAAAACAGTATCTTGAGGTTTTACTGGATCAGAAAAAAACAAAGTTAAGCACTGTATTTTTTAATTTATTTTTTTTTCAGAGGATGATGATTCCTTTTCTCTCCCAACCCTGGCCAAAGAGAGTAGCCATAACAGCAGCTTTGAGCTCATCGGCTCCATGATCCCGTCGTACCAGCCCTGCAACAAGCAAACGTCACGTGGAGGGAACTTTTCATCCGCAGCAGGAGGTTTCAGGTCACCTTCCCCGGGCTTTTTCAAAACGAGCTTTCTCAGCTCTGCTTCCAAGGTAAGGTTCTCGGTCCTATTTCTCTTGTATGTGAACACAGTGCGTACTGACTCCGTGTATTTTATCCTGACAGTCAGATCTATCAAAAAAAATAATACCAGAAGGCAGCGCCTGGCTAAATGCTTTTATAGGAGTAAGATTTCAGAAAAGCAGACTGTCCCTGGACTTTGAAGTGTCTCCACACTGGAACGGATAAAAATGCCATTATAAAAACTTACATTCTGAAACATCAAAGAAAAGATGCTATCATCTGTTTTTATATCTGAGATATGTAAATATTTTGTTTAAGCACATTTACATGGGCTGTGCAACATCTGATGTCAGTGAACTATGACTGAACCAGAGCAATGTGGACATGCTTGACTCCTGTGAGGTGTTAGTCCTTAATGTTTTATCCCATTCTTGCTTTTGAATTCCAGGCTTGCAAAACAACTTTTGTGTTTTTATATTCCTTTGACTAGAGCTCAGGGAAGATTTCTGAGCCCTCTCTTCCCATAGAAGATTCCCAGGACCTGTATAATGCCTCTCCCGAGCCAAAGAGTTTATTTCCAGGGGCTGGGGAGTCACAGTTTCAATTTTCTCTGGAAGACGACACTCAGAGCCAGCTGCTGGATGCGGATGGGTAAGTGATAGGTGTGAAGGTGTTTTGTGCCCTTTGATGGGAGTAGGACATGCAGACCAGCAAGCTTTTTCTAACTACAGACTTTCTTTCAGGTTCTTGAATGTTGGGCAACACAGGAATAAATATCAGTCCTCAAAGCACCAGCTGCCCCTGGCCAGTATGGATGAGAACGCAATGGATGCCAACATGGACGAGCTGCTGGACTTGTGTTCGGGACAGTTCAGCAGTCAGGCGGAGCGCGTGCCCAACACCAGCAGCGGCAAAAAGCAGAACATGGAAGAATTGCTCCATCTTTGTTCAGGAAAATTCGTGTCTCAGAGTACGACCTGAATTCTGTTTTCAGCCTTGCTGGGTTACCCGACTTAGAAACGTTGTGCTGAGGTACCCGCTGGGGCTGGGCACTAACGCACAACGCGGGATGTCGAGGCTTCTGAGAGCTCTTAACAGTTTGTCGTGGGAGCCGGCTAGCTGTCGTTTCTGGGGTACTCTGATATTTTAAAAGTCCAAATATATCTCTCTAGTAAGTTGCCCTCTCACTACTCGTTGTAGCAGGTTCTCCGACGTGGGCATCTTCGGTGTCTTCCAAGGCAGAAAAAGACAGTGACACCGAAGATCCGATGGCAGAAGCTCTGGCACTTTGTTCAGGCTCCTTTCCCACAGACAGGTTGGCACTGTTCCCCCTCACATTTGCAGAAGTTTATAGGGGTAGTTGCCTCGTTTCACTCTTAATCTTTTCTCGTTCAACATCAGTTCAAAATGCTGTAAGCAGAATCTTTGGTTTATTTTCCCCTAGGGAAGAGGAAGATGAGGAGGAGCAAGAACTTGGTGATTTTCAGCTTGTGACAGATGACAATGCCTTCGACAGTGAAGAGGTATGAACCGATGGAGCGAAGCAACTGCTGCAGCATTCTGACTAAGAGAGCTCAATTTGTCTGCTTAGTTTTTTAGTCTAGCCATCAGGGTAAAGTGTCATGACTTCAAACACTGAAGTGTTTTGAAGAGCAGTCTTTGGATCGTTTAAAATGCCTCCTTAATATTATGCTGTACTGGATAAAGCATCTTAGCATAGCAAACCCTCTGAAAAATCTCCGGTGCTTTAGTCTGTGTTTACTGATTGCAGTGACAGCTGCTTCTATTCTTCAAAGCAATCCGCTTCCAGAGATTCCTTAATTTCTGAAAACTTTCTCTTTGACAGGATAAAAATAGTGGAGATAGTGATGCTGAAGAAGCAGAAGTGAGTGATGAAGAAGAAGAACTGCCGAGACATAGACGGAGCCTGAAGAAAAAACTGTAAATACATCTTTTTTTGTATCTTAGTTGCCAGACAGAATAGAGTATTAACAGCACTGGGAATTTAGTTTATAATTACTCCCTCTTTTAATGTTCTTTTACAGGAAACTGGAGGAGTTCATGGAAGACGAGGCAGAGCTGTCGGGAAGCGATGTGGGAAGCGAGGATGAATATGATGGTGAAGACCTGAACGAATATGAAGAAGAGATTATTGATGAGGAACTCCCTAATGAAGTGGAATTAGAAAGCCAAATACAGAAATTACACATGTCAGTGACAGCATTAATGTATATTTGTTGAGGGGAGGTCATGACACTTGCGTCCGTCCAGGACTAACCTTTTTCCTCTCCGGGGGTGACAGGAAAGCGATGCTTGACGACGACAAGCGCCGGTTGCGCTTATACCAGGAGAGATACCTCATCGACGGGGACCTGCACAGCGACGGCCCTGGCAGAACGAGGAGGTTCCGATGGAAAAACATAGGTGCCTTTCTGGAACAGGGGCGTGGGGGTGTGGGCGTGGAGTACCACGCAGTCCAGCAGAAGGAAATAAATTCTGGGAGAGCAGTTCCAGCGGGGGAACAGTGTTTGGTTGGTGGTGGTTTTTTTGTTGCTAGGCTACGTGGTTTATGCCTCTCTTCAAATGAATTGTTAATTATTCTTTTTCTTCGCTTAGATGATGCTTCACAGGTGGACTTGTTTCAGAGGGAGTCGGATAATGATGACGAAAATGAACAGTTTGATGAGATAGAAGTGAAGTGGAGGAAAGAGCGATTTGAACGGGAACAGTGGCTTCGCGAGCAGGTATTCATTAACCTCCAGGAAGGCATCTTGCTCCGTCTTTATACCATTTCGAGATGTGAAATTGCTAGTCCTTCAAGTTAAACTGGAAAAAAACCACCATAAATGTGTCTTGGTTTTTCATCATGAGTTCTGCTCTTTCTCTCCTACAAATACTGTACAAAGAGAGAAGCTAATTCAGAAGGGGGAGGTAAAAGCAGCTGTTCTGAAACAAGTCAGCTTCAAAGCTGGAATAAACCTCTTGTGCCGGGAGCATAACTTCACGTTTCAGAATTGATATGAATTAATACTACAGTATTAGGTCAGATTTGTCAACTGAATGTGATACTACAGGTTTGCTGTTCATTAATAGAACAAGGATTATAAAGTGTCTAAGAAATTGCGATAAACTTTTGTAGTAGAAAGTAAATAAAAATAAATATATTAATTTACATAATGAGAGGACTTGGCCTACTTAAAATACAGAATGAAATGTTTGTTCTTAGTATGTTTTCTTCAATTTTACAAAGTGTCTTCTCTCTGCTACAGAAGGAAAAAAACAAAGAGCAGGAGGAGGAGGAAGAAATTGGTGAGGACAGCCAGTTCATGAAGCTAGCCAAAAAAGTAACTGCCAGGTCCCTTCAGAAGAAAGGTGAGCTTCCTTTGGATTGCAGTGACAGACAAGGAAGAGAAAGAAACTAGTTGCCAGAGTCATCTCTCGGTTTTATGGCTCATAGTATGATTTGATGCAGTTGTGGGTTTTTTTCCCCTGCAGTATTTACTGTCTGTTGTGAATCCCAAGTTCTTCACTTTGCCATGAAGTTGTTTTCTGGCCAATGAAGTTCAAAGCTGACGGTTTTCCCTCTCCGTGTCTGCAGCGAGCCCGGCCGTGGTGGTACCGGACACGACCCTGTTACCCCGGAACCCGTTCGAGACATTCCGACCCGCCAGCGAAATCCAGGTGGGGAACAGTTCCAAAAAACAGTATTTCCAAACTGCAGCTTCTGCCTTCGCTGGGTTGTGTGGCAGTGAGTAACCCTTTAGTAGAGAATAGTGACTTCTGTCAAGAGTAACCTACTGAAGGAACCGGCTCGTGCACGGTTTAACGCAGCGTTTCTTTGTTCTTCAGATCAAAAATGGGTCTCTCCTGAACAGACCTCAAGCCGTCCTTCAGAAGCTAGCAGCCATGTCGGATCTGAATCCAAACGCACCTCGAAATTCAAGGAAATTTGTCTTTCATACGCTTTCCCCAGACAAAAACGAAGAGGCGAAGGAGAAATCAAAACTTCAGGTAAGGTTCGTGTGGAATGTGCTCTTGGTTATGTCGATCATTTAAACGTGCAGGCACTGAGCACTGCCAGGCAGTTAAGTTATTGCTGTCTTAAATATTCTCTGTGCTTTCCTGGTATGTGCTCCCAATAATTCTGTGATAATTCAAAATGTAGGGGTTTTGGAGATGGGGTACGTTCTAATGCGTCCTCCTGCCCTGCAGGTGAAGAAAAGAGGCGCTCCTGCAGCAGTAACAGCGCTGGCCAAACGGCCCAGGGTAGAAAGCACTGAGGAAACGAGTCAAAGCCGAAGCATATTCCAGTACTTGGAGAGCTGAATAGTTCTGTCGTATCTCGTCTCTTAGCCAGCTGCCGTTTGCAAATCTGCCAGCAGCCATCGGGAAGGTAAACAGACACACTCCTGTGCTGCCACCTCCTTCACAAGTTCCAGTAATTTCCAGGCAGTGGGCTTCTTTATTCCCCTTTGGTGTTTTCTCGGTGGTTTTTGTTTTCTCTCAGTGCTCTGTGGCAAATGAGAGCACGAATTCCATGCTGGATGTGGGACGAAACGCTAACTCGCTCTGTTCCAAGCGTTAAGGAGAGGCGCACGCGCTGCTCTGCACTGTCCTCCCCGCGCCGCACCGCTTTCCGTGGGGTCAGCTCCGCCTGAAAACGCTGTTGGTGTGGCAGGAGTGTGCAGAAATGCTGCACTTAGCTCGGAGCAACAGGTGAAGGCGGAGTTTCTGCAGTTTGGGGTGAGGAGAAGCATTCGCTGTGGCAGGGGGAATGTTCACACTTGCAGTACAAGGGTGCTACAGCTTCCTCTGCTGTCTCGTTCTCTCTAATGTTAAAAGTTTATTAGCTTGACATTTTAAGAATCTCTAATTTATATATGAAATGTGTACTTTCTTAAAAAGATCCCGCTCTCTTAGGCGGTGGTATGAGAAGAATTTGTTTCCAAGTTTTTGTTACTGTTTATATTTTTCCCCATGGATATGAATGTGCGTGTGGAGAGGGAAGAATGCGAATCGCAGATGTGGGAGAGGAAAAGGAGGTGTTTCGGGGTTTATTTGCTTTTGAGGGGAGTTGTTTGGTTTGTTTGGCCTCACTGAAGGCTCGAATCCATCCATTCCGTTGTTTTCACACGAGCTGCGTTCACCCGAGAGAAATTGCCCATTTCTGAACAGCTGCTAAGGAAAGGTTCTCTCTAAAAGGGGGAAACTCGATAATATGGAACCATCACTCACAACTGTTTTAAATAGTGTGAAAGAGACTTGAGACAGAACCTACAGCATTTCTGACGTGCCTGGTTACGTGTTGAATGTGTTAAAGTAGAGCCCAGCCCACGGTAAGACAGAGGCCAGCTCTCTGAGACTGAACATCTTCCCAGGACTCGGTGTCCCACACTCGGGTTGTCAGAGGAGAACCCCAAACTGTAAATTTTGTAGCGTCATGAGCATACCTGAGGTGTGCTACATGTAAAATATTTTACTGTATATTATGTTTATAAAGCACTATGGTACTAATTGGAGTGCAATTTTACAATAAAACATGGTTTTAATTTTAGAGGCAGTTGGAATTAATTTACAGGATTTCGCTCGGGTTCACGTGGGTTTTTTCCCTCAAAATGTTTGTCCATCTCCTTTTTTCATTTCTGCTTTTCTTTTGTAGCCACAGCTAAGCCTTTCTCTAGGAACAGCTGCCGTAACGTGGGAATACAACACAAACACCCCCCCGGGTTTGTTGGAGTGTAAATTCTCAGGTCTTCCACTTAGGTTTGCATAAAATTCTTGGCCCTAAGAATATGTTTCTTTTTGCTGATCGAATAGTTTTGATTTTATTAGTTCCTAAACAAAACTTGCTTTACCGTTGGCTCGAGTCGTGCCTAAGGCAGTTCGTTCTAGCAATTATCATAATTAGTGTACCTGGATTGGGGATGGGAGGTTTAGGGAAAAGAAGAAGGAAGAAAAGGTCATTTAGCACACGATTCCTGAAAAGCAACAGAGCTGAAAGGAGATGGAATCGTAGAACAGTTCAGGTTGGAAAAGACCCTTGGGATCATCGAGTCCAACCATTAACACCTGCATATCCCCTTAATTCTCTGTCACAGTGCTTGCACCCATTTGTAAGTAGTTGTAATTCAGCACAGATTTACTGGCAAAACCAGGCGAAGATGTAAAATTCTGCATCTTCTCTTACTTTTGCTGGTACTGCCTGCCACTAGGGAGCAGCAAGAGAACGCTATTCCTCTAGCAAGAGGGGCCAGGAGAATGAGTAAAGCTTAAACCAGACTCTGGCTCAAGGGGAAATTCTTACAGTTTCCTGTTCTCTGTCGTTAGACCTGCACTTGTCAGGGGTTTTCCATTAGAAGGTAAGAGCTCGAAGAGCACCTTGAGAGCGTTGGCTTTGCCCTAGTGGTCTTACTGGCCTTTTCTCAGCATGTGCTAGCCACCACCGTGGCTTTTGTTTCGCTGTCCCATTAGAATTTCCCTTCAAAATACGTTTTGCTTGTTCCAGAGCCAAGAGTAGAAAAATATTGTTGGGCCTGACGAGCTCATAAATTGAAATGCATAGAGTGGAGCAGCTTTGGGGCTCAGAGTAAATGTTTCCCCCCCCCAAGAACTTTCCAGGAGTTGAGGGGTTGCGGAGCGCTGCGGGGGAGCACCACGTCCCACCCCAGAAATCGTTGTGGGGGGAACCCCAGAAATTCCTTGCAGGGGGGAGCATTCCGCGCTGCCTTCTGAGGAGGGGAGTTCTGCAGGAGCTGAAATCTCACGGGCAGGAGGAGGGGAGTGCTCTGGGATGCTGCCGCTCGTCGTGCCAGCCTCCGTCCCCCCGGCGGGGCGAGAGACTGACCCTGCTCCCATCCCTCCTGCCCCCCCGGCTCCTGTCTGGCACATCCGCTCGGCTTCGGCTTCTCATTTTCAAGTATTGATTCAACTCGCCCCTCCTGGCACGGAGACGCTGCCGCTGCACTAACGGGCAGAAAAATCCCCCCCTGTTGCTGGAAGTGCCTAAAGTGGTGTGGGGCTGGTCGGGCGAGACATTGACTCGGGGTTGGGGCGGAGGGATGGCAGTGTTCACCCAGGTTAGGTGGCTGTAACAGCTCTGTGCCTCAGTTTCCCTCACTCAGGAGGATTGAAGCCTTTTGGATCTGAGCTCCTGATCCTAAACTGCACCACGGGAGCCTTGAGGAGAGGAGTGCTGCTACCTGTGCCGTCTGACCTGCTGAGTGGGCAGAGAGAACGAGCTCTCAGGAACCTAAAAGAATGTGGAGAAATTAAAAAAGAACTTAGAAGCAGAGGCAGGAACGGCCTTCGGTCCGTGTTAAAGGTTAACATTGCAGACACGTTTATAATCATAGCTCTCGCCACCGCTCGGCTCCTCGGGGGCTCAAGGCAGTCACTGAATTATGTTTTCTTTTTTTTTTCCTTTTTGCCAAGAGACTGAGAGGGGGAGAGAAAAAAAACTATTTGTTTGTCTTGTCTAATTTAATTTATGTTATTTATCAAATAGACAGGTTATTTGGGAAACCAGATGGACCCAGGCTAAAATCATCTGTATTTCCAACATGTGAAAAATTATGTCCGAGCGGACACATGGGAAGCAGCGTGGTGGGTGTTGTGTGCGCGCCGGTCACGTGCGGTTCTGCACCTCATCTGTCCTGGACCTCCCATCAGTTGTCCTGCACCCACCGGGAGGGTTAAAGGACAAAAAGACCCCCAGGCAGCCGGGCCAGTGCAGACTGGGAGGGCGTCTTCTAGAGCAGCCGTGTCACAATTATTTACCCTCTCCGGCTTTCAACCTGCTCGTTAGCGGGTGCATCCTTTCTCTGGGGGTGATGAATGGGGAATTTGGGGCCCGTGACAACGTCTTTAGCAGGCGCTTGGGTTTGGACGGGGGCAGGTGACGCTTTCAGCCTCTGTTTCTTTTCCTTTGGGTTCTCTGTTATTAGAAAAGGAAGCACAGAAGCCAGGGAGCAGCAGAAATAGGCGGGGATGGCCACGGTCTCATGCAAAGTGGATAATTCAAGAAATTCAATGTAAGGGTAAAGGGTGGCTGGGTGCAGGGTCCCCTCGCGCTGTCGCTGTGGCCTTGGCTCCCACGGCATCGACCTGCCAGGGCAGAGCTCGGGGCTGCCGTGTCCATCTTGGCCAGCACCGGGGTGCCCATTAATGCTTCATTAATGATCTCAAATCAAAAGGGAAACTGGGACTGGGCACACACTTTCCTTTCCCCAGGACCTGTTGGGCAGCTGCGAGGGGGCTGTGCAGAGGCCGGCCAAACTCGTGGCATGGAAAATAGCTCTGGCTGAGACTTGCACCGGGGCTGGGTTTATGAGGTGACCTGTGAAGCAAAAGTTTCATTCTGTATTAACTATTAGTCATTAATATTAATTATAACATTGCGTGTGCTCCGTGTGGACAGATGTTCAGTCCTTAGGGGTTATTATTTTCTCTCGTATCATCCAGAAGCCCAATTTATGGCGAACTCCAGCTCCGTTTCTCCAGGCAGCAGAGATATAAACCAGCTGTAATTAAAGAAAACGACAGAGAAGATTGCAGGGCGGGGAGGGGCGAGGAGCAAATTTTACAGCTTTGCGAGAGATTAATTTTGGTTTTAGCTAATTTTTTTTTTTCTCTCTGCACCTCAAGGCTGTTTTTATGCAACACGCTTCCCTTAACGGTAGCCCATCGATTTTGGGTGTTTGATGATGTTTGCCAGCACGGTGACGGAGGATTAAAACACCAGATTAGAAAAAAATGTCAGGTTTTTTTCCCAGTTGCAGGTCCAAGCTGGGATGGTGGGCTTGGTGGGCTCGGGTTGCTTCACCGAGTCGTCCCGCAGGATGCTCGTACCAGCTCCTCCAGCCCCCTGATGTAAAAGAGGTAATTAAAGCAACAGGCACTAATTATCCCTGCCATGTGTTCCCTATTTTTTGCATGACGAGAGGGACGATGCTCTGGGTTCAAAGCATCCGGGGAGGATGAGCTCTCGGTAGCCTTCGCTCCACCTGCGAATTTGCTTGAGCGCGAGTGACCTTTGGAGACGTCCCCTCGTGCTAGAAAGGGAAAAGGAAGAAAAGATTAGATGAGGGTCAACGCAGTTGGCAAAGACACCCCCCCAACATCTGCGGGGCTGGGGGGAGCTGGGTTTGATGCAGCAGCAGCGCCCCAAACCCTCCTGAGGTCTGGAGGGGTTGGGATTTTTTCCATGCGCTGGCTGGGTCTTCTCCGTGGCTCCTGATAAAAGTCTGAGCGATGCTGCTGGTGTTTCCAGCTTGAATGGGAACTGGAGGTGTCAAAAAGACCCTCCCCGTGATGCTGGTGCTGACCCC